ATGTATATATTAAATTTAAAGGGTAAAAGAAGTGTGTGTGTCAACAGTTCAACGTCCTGCTGTGACCGTGTCAGAACTGCGTGACTCCTTCCTGATCGGTCGCCGGGGCGTTTCCAGGGGCGCTGTCCAGCATCAACTGATCGTACGCATCATCAACAAGTCACACCTGATGTATTATGGGAAAACAGACCGGAACTGTGAGTGTCCATATAAGGTCAGTGAACACACACACTGTCTCTCGTCAGATGTCTTTGCAAACAGATATTTTCTTTTATGTTTTGGCCTCTCGTCCACAAACAGAGTTTCAGGTCACTTCACACAGCATCAAATGAGGTGACAGTGGAGGAGGTCGTAATAACGTACCTTTAAACAGAGGCAGTGTTGTAGATGGCGGTGGTCTGTGAGGTCACATCGCAATATGTGAATGAAGAATTCTTTTCACTGTGTTACTGATTCAATTCGTTCCACTATTTTTAAAATGTCTTTGTCTGTGCCTACAGTCGTATCTCGCTTGAACTACACTACACTGCCTCCACCATCTCTGGTGGTACTGCTCAGTTTCACCTGTATTAATGAGCTCTCAGAACACTTGCACAAATACTGAAAAAATGAAGGCAGAGTACGAACAGAAGGCTCCGTCCATGTTGATATATGTTGAGCTTAAATGAGCCCTTAGATGAAATCAGCATTTCTCAAACTGGGGCGCACGTGACCAGGGGAAAATGTTATGTTTAATGTTGTGTTCACACCGGGCGCGAATAAACCAAATTCAGGGCAGTGAATTACATGTAAAGTCAACGTAAAGACACGATTAGACACGAATCCCCAGCGGGCAGTGCGATGGACGCAATGGACTTGATGCAAACCACGCAAGTAGTGTGATTTCGTGTGGTGCGCTTATTTGCGAGAGTTGAAAAATCTGAACTTCAGCAATGATAGCCAAGTATCTGGAGTCCTCCAGGGACATATGACACAGAGGACGCACCGGCGGAAGTTCATTCATCGATTTAGCAATTTCAAGCACATATGACATGAGTTATTCACGTGTATGAAGTCAACACAGAATATTCTAGCGTTCAAACTTGTGTGAGTAACGTGATGAAAAATTCTGCATCACATTTGGTGTGAACACAGCATAAATAATGTATTTATGTCAAAATCTTTTTTATAGTGAAACAGTAAACAAATCATGCTTTCACAAAGCACAGACAGTCTGTAGGTTTACAGAAAAGATGGCTATGACACAGGGATGAAAAGAAAAACAGGTGTTGCTTCTCAGTAGTAGAGTGTACATGGTATGCAGGTATTTGCAGTGTACCAGTAAGAAAACATCAGGATTTCTGTTCACTCATTAACGGAACAAAGTCGTGTTGTGACAGAGCTTTTACTTCAGATATTTGTTTTCACAAACACAGAGTCAAGAGATGTGACAGCAAACCGAAAAAACACTGTGGGGTCATGACAGAAAGACTTTGAGAACCACTGGATTAAATAAGGGAGGACCAAAGATAGAACCATGTGGAACACCAGACTATGTTAACTCCATTGCCCTCTGTCTCTCTCTCTCTCTGTCTGTCTGTCCAGGCGGTGTTGGAGGTGTGTGACAGGACAGGAAGTGTGTGTGTGGTGTTGTGGAACAGTGTGTGTGTGAGCTGGTATCGCTGTCTGAAGCCTGGTGACATCATCAGCCTGAGACGCTATCGAGTCAAACAGCATTACCAGGCCGAGTCAGATGATATAGGTACACACACACACAAACCTATCTCACCATTCTTACGGGGACCGCGTCCTCCTGAAGTTTCTTTTCTTCGCCGTGTCTCTGTTTGTGTCCAGAGATCAGTGTGAACAGCAGGAATCCTGCTGCCCGCATCTCTGTTCTCCCAGAATCCTCTGTTTCACCTGAACATCTCCCACCTGCTCCGTCCTACAGCTTCTACAGCAGGTAAACACACACACACACACACACACACACACACACACACTTATACAAACACACTCTGACTCTCTGTCTGTCAGCAAGGAGCTCCTGGAGCGTCCTCATGGCGTAGTGTGTGATGTCATTGGCCTTCTGACGTTCTCAGGACGACCCCAGCGAATCAGGAGCAAGGGTGAGGGTTGCCATGGTGACTGCATATAGATAACATTCATGCCTTAGTTTTTTGTTTCTTTCAGTTTCACTTAAACACAGAAGTCACGCTCCAGTCTGTGTTTTCATTGGTAGATGGCAGAGGGGCGGAGCTTTTGGAATATCGTTGGCTGCGATTGGAGGACGGGACTAGCAATCACCCAATAATGGTGAAGCTCTTCTCCACATCTCAACCTGAGTCCCACCGCAAGCTCTACCCATGTGAGACACACACACACCCCCACACACACACACACACACACACTTGATATAGTTGCAGCAGTAGTTTGTCAGAAAACACACATTCTGTGTTTTTTAAGAAAATAGTGAGAAGTCAGTGATTTTCATCTGTGTGTGTTTTCAGTGTCAGTGGTCGTCTGTACCAGACTGAAGGTGATCAAAGCCGCTGATCAGACAGACGCCAGCTTCTACCTGACAAATACAACATACACACAGGTGTACTGCACAGGTAACACACCACACACACCTCTGTAAGAATGTTTGATATTCATGCAGCGTTTTCTTACCATGTCTCCCTTTGGTAGCAGAAAAGTGAAACAGCACACGTCTTGTTAGTGCCAGCGATCCTGTCCGCCAACACTTCTTCTCATTCATTGGTCAGCTGGATTCTGTCCTCTCTCCTCATTTGTCAATTGGCAGGGCTGGGCCACCACTCGGAGATGAGTTACCGTAAGCTCCGGCCGGTGCGACACTTCCTCCTGTGGCTGAGGAGCCAGGAGGATGGACAGGTGCTGAGCAGGGCCCTGATTGGAGGATTCTTCATCTACCCGCCTCCTCCCGTCTCCTTGGAAACCTACATGAAGGACAGGAGAGGTCGTCTGTCTGTCTGTCTGTCTGTCTGTCTGTCTGTACATCTGTCAGTGTTGTCTAAAGAATAAGAGTGTAGTTTCTCTTTAAGTGTTTGTGTTTGTGCGAACAGGTGAGCTGGGGTTCCTGCGAGGGGCGGAGCTTCAGAGGGAGGTGGAGAGACTCTGTTACCGGGAGCGACGCAGCTTCTGTATCCAGGCAGCTGTTACCATGGTTACATACAGCCGCAGAGGAGAGGTGACTGCCACACACACCCACACACACTTTAGTAACTCCCTAACATTCTAACACGTTTATGTTGTTCTGTCTCTTTTAGGAGGATCGCTGTTTGTTTTGGACGGTCCGACCTTCATCCCTCTCCTCCTCCTCTTCCTCCTCCTCCTCCTCCCCCTCCCCTCGCTTCGCCAAATCCTCCCCTCATCCATCTCCCTCGCCCTCCCTCTCCTCCTCCTCCCTCCTCCCTCTGTCCTCCACGCCTCGCTCCTTCAGACCTCCTCTCTCCTCCTCTTCCTCGTTCTCTCCGATGTCTCCGTCCTCAGCGCACAGTCAGCTGACGCCGCGTCCTCTGGACTACAGATCAGGGTGAGATATAAAAACATTTCTTCATCATGTGATTATAATGATTTCATTATTTCAGAGTGAGAATGTGGATTTACACTCAGACTGTGTTTCAGCAGGAGGTCGTGTAAGAGGAAGCAGCTGCTGCAGGCTGAAACGCCAAAGAAGAGGTGAGCGCCAAGTATATATACTCAAGTACTGGACTACATTTAGTGTACCTTTACTGTATGTGAGTACTTCTGTGTGCCACCACGTCCTCCGCCGCTCCATCTCAGAGGCAAATATTGTACTTTTTACCTCAGTAAGGTTTGAATGCAGGATTTTTACTTGTTGTGAAGTATTTTTTATAGTGTGGTTTTAGTACTTTTACTTTTACTTCCTCCAGCACTGGTTTAGTTCTTTTGTCTCTGTCTCCTCAGACATCCGATGGTCACATTACAACCAGAGCAGAACAACAAGACAGGTCTTCTACTTCAAACTTCTACAGCATCATTTTCTATATAGTAACACACATGTCTGAAGTTATCATCAAATGTAAATATAAGAGTTTAAAACTGCAACTCCCATCAGCCATCAGGGCAATGTGTTCAGCGTTCAAACTAGAGTTATACTGATACCGATACCAGTATCGGAAATGCCTCTGATACTGCCTAAAATGCGGTATCGGGTATCGGCGAGTACAGCCTATGACCAATCTGATACCACGTAATGCCTCATGTCATTACGCATACGCACGCTACAGGCAAATGAAATGGAAACGGAGCGGAGTTTAAAAAACATTCTACTGTAGCCTTTAAAATGTCTTTTTTGCCAAATTGTGTGGCTGCACTTTAACCTGTGTCTTGATCTGTGTCAACACTGGATAATAATAATAATAATGATAATAATAATAAAAAAAAGTTTTATGGCATTCATTCTACTATTATGTATTTATTTCTTAATATTTTACACAGAGTTTTAGGAGTTGAGACATACAACAATTCATATCCCTTTTTTTTTTTACGTGCTGGTATCAGATTGATACTCAGTATCGGCAGATACCTAAGGTTCAGGGATCGGAATCGGTATCGGGAAGGAAAAAGTGGTATCGGTACATCTCTAGTTCAAACCAGAACACAAACTCATGACAGCTGTCAATCAGAGAAACGTGTGTGCGTGGGTTCTTTCTGTTGTTACACGTCATCTTCAACAATTCTGCCTGATTTTTCTCAGGCACGTATAACCAATAATAAGTGTGGTCCCCACAAGTGACAAATATGTGGTGGTCCCCACAAAAGACCCCCAAAAAAACCTAAAAGAATGGTGGTTTCCACAAATCACAAAAAAAGTGCGGACCTCTCAAGTGACAAAAATATAGTGGTCACCACAAAAGACAAAAAAGAAAAAGTGTTCCAAACAAGTGACTAAAACAAGGTGTGACAAATAAAAATGGTCCCCACAAATGACAGAAATAGTGTTGTCCCAACATGTGACAAAAACCAGAGTGTGTGTGTGTCATATAATAACAATAATGGTAATAATGACTCCTCTGTGTGTGTCGGCAGTCATTCTGTTTGAAGCCTCCATGGAGTTTCTAGAAAACACAAACGCCGATGAAGAAGATGACAGTGATGATGATGATGATGACACCTCGTCCTTCGTCACTGCCCCCCTCCTCCCTGTCTCCCCGACGATTGCTGTGGAGACGCTGCCGATGCGTTATGACCACGCCCACAGAGAGGAGCAGGCGGTTGCCGTGGCGATGGGTGGGAGGGCGTCTGCTGCTGGGAGGTTTGACTCTGCCATCGAGGATTACTACACACTGAGACTGAGAGGTACGTTTGCTCCTTTAGCATAATGTAGATTTCAATCAAAACAGTTGAATCTATTATTTAGTGACAACAAAGGTATTTTATTTCTGGAGCTGTTGGGTTTGGTTTTTACGTGTTTAGTACTCCTCTGTCAGTGAACTGGTTTAGTTGTGAGTTGGTGTCCTGATGTGCTGTGTGATTAGACCTCAGGAAGAATAGCCTCTGTGTTAATGACGCTAATGAGGATCCTATCAAAGAACAAGTAAGGTTCCTGCATCATAAAATGGTCAAATCAAGCATTCTGATTGGTTGTTAGCCAAGATTTAATAAAAGCCTTATTCCTTTGCACTGTTGAGAATCACTCTACCTTTGACTCTGCCCACTCCACTGAGTTCAGTGAAACCAGTCGACTGTTTCTGCATGTGAGGGGCAAAACGTAAGCCTAACAGATGTGTTAGCTAACAAACTGCTACAAAACAGAAACATTTAAGGTCAACTTTGACCTCCGTGGTGGAGGAGTGGATTCAGAGGAAAACCCACTTGCTGAATTCTAGTTTCTGTAGCTGTACGTCTGTAAATCTGCTGTCTGCTCTCCCGGCAAACTAGTCTACTGTCACCGCAGGGTGAGGCAGACGGACTGTGGGGTGACAAATAACGTAAACTAGTACTTTGTCTAGCACTAAGCATTTGTTTTGCACCATGCGCAGGCAGACAGGAAGGCCTGTTTCTTTCTAACAATGCTTTATGAACATATTAAAAAAACAGTTTAATTTGGACCCCCTATTGACAAGGGGTGGAACAACAGTCTGCAAATAGTTGTCTTTTTTTTTAAATTTTTTTACCAAAACTCACAGGCTATCTGACCATGTTTTAAATTATAAATAGCTTGTCACAACATACATGAAAAAAGATATTTAAATTAATTCCTCTAATCTGTTATGTTTTGTGAGGATCAGGTCATTGGACAGATATTTGCAGTACTGGGAACTTCTCAGTATCACCGACAGGCTGACCAGACTGAGAAAGACCAGAAATTTGCCAGAACAGTTTTGGAGCTGCTTTTTAGTTCCTTAAAATATCTTGGTTGCAACCTGTAGGTTATGATGTAGCAGATATGTTGAAACTTATCGTTTCAGCAACACTGTGGTTAAGTTTAGGCACAAAAACCACCTGGTTTTGGTTTGGAAAAGATCATGTTTCCTGCTGTAGGTGGCTCGGTCACAGCCAGGAATGCTGCAGATGTCTCGCTGAAAACACCCAGTTTTGTTGTTTGTTGGTCTCCAACAGTTGGCAGCCGTCTCACTTAAGCACATGTACATACATACGTCATGCATGCACCTTTATACTGCACAGCACCCCTCTGCCAAAATATGTTCCCACACTTGTATATATATGTTTCTGAAGTCATGAATTAAGTAAATGTTTTTTCTCAGCTCTGTCAGACGGTGTGTCGGTCGACGCTGTCTTCCTCCCTCACTCCTCTTCCTCCCCATGTCCTCCCCTCCTCCCTCACTCCAACACCTGGATTTCCATCTTATCACATGGAGCCTTCTCTTCAAACACACCTCCACCTTCACCAGGTCAGCACACACACACACACACACACACACACACACACACAAACACACACAAAACAAAAACGTGAGCAGAACGATGAAGTTTTCCTCTCTCTCTCTCAGCTGACCTCATCAACATGGCGGCCCAGCTGGCCAATCAGAGGCTGGTGTGTGTCCTGGAGGCATGTCACCTGGGTGGAGCTACAACAGAACTTGTCCTGAGTCGAGCGTTTCACCTGACCGACTGACCGTTTCCTTGTCAACTTATTATTTAACGTTTAACGTTGACGTTTTTATACTTGATAATTTATATTATTTATGAAAGTATTTCATGTTGGATAAATTTGCAAGGTTACACGTTTTACATGTTAATGCACTTTACTAATATTGGGAGTTGTAGTTTTTTAACTCTACAATATGGACTACATTTAAAGAGCAACAGTGACAAATTTAAGCTGTTAAAACGATTTCAGTTGTAGCTGTTTGCTAGATTTTTGTACCAGATGTGCTGGGATTTCTAGTTTTTAGTAACACTAAAGATTACAAACTGCAAGTGACTATAATTATTTTAGCACATATATTAGTACATATATTTAGTATATAAGTAGTATCAATAAAATACACTGGGACAGCTTCTAAGTACAAGAAACAAGGGGGTAACAGCTTTCTGGTTAAGGGAGGCTTAAACACAACATGCTTAGTACCTATTTTTTATTATTATTGTTATTATTATTATTAATTATAACAACAACAACAACAATAATAGTAATAATAACAATTTATTATTATTATTATTATAACAGTAGTAGAAGAAAAAAATGATTCTCGTGAATATGATATCTCAAGAACACTTTTAGGGACTTTCCTCAAATTGGGCACAAACGTCCACTTGAATTCAAGTATGAACTATATTAGTATTTGGTGGTCAGAGGTCAAGGTCACTGTGACCTTGCATCTGTCACATTGTCCTAAACGTGATATCTCAAGAAAATTTTGAGGGACTTTATTCAAATTTGGCGCAAACATCCTCTTCAACTCAAAAATGAAATGATTAGAATTTGGTGGTCAAAGATGACTATGACCTTGCATCAATCTTATTCTAGTGAATGGGATATCTCAAGAACAACTTAAGGAATTTTTTCAAATTTTGGCTAAAATGTCCACTTGAACGTAACTTAAAAGATTAAAGTTATTTGGATAAAGTAGGAAGAAAAGTGTGGCAGGCTCTTCCCCCTTTCAGCTGTGTGTGCAATAAAACTCCATATCATTATTACTATTTTTTGTTTTTCATTATCTCCTTGTTCCCTGTACTTTTTCCCTTGTGTCTCAGATCTTATTGGTACAGCTTACGTACAAAATATTTCCACATTAATTTGTAATACAGTGTAAGTGTTGAAAATGAGTTTTAAAAGAGCTTCAGTGTTGTACACAGATGGAAAGATGAGCTTATTAAAGGTGATCCAACAGGTTTATTTGATGTGTACACATTGCTCGGTTTCCATGTCTGTGCCTTTCAACAGCCACAGTTTGGAAAAAAAAAAAACTACTTCTAAAACTTATTGCTTTAAGGACAACAAACAAAGAAATGAATGATTTTGTGTTTCTTCACTTGTATTGTACTCCTGATTGTTTGGAGAAGGCTTTGAAACTGTATTAAAGGTTATACAATTTACAAAGGGTGGTACAAAAATCTATAAATTAAACAAAAAGTTCAGTTAATACAAATGCAACAGACCGTCTTTTTGGTCTAGGTGGTGTTGAGGGGACGGCAATATTTCTAAAATCCTGGCTTCGGCCCTGGTTCACATGTTCGCTGTTTGTTTTAACAGCAGAACCTCAGTTTGAGGTGTAAATTCTATTTAAGTGCCAGAAAGTCCCCTAATGTTGTATCTCTGTGAAGGTTTTGTATTTGTCACATATTTTGTAAGATATTTACATTTAGTAGGAACCTCGTAGCCCCATTCTCAGCTGAATGTTTGTTTTTGTCCTTCTGGCTGTCGATCTGTTTGTTTTTCTAAAGTGTGTACAGTTTTTCATTATGGAGAGTTAATGTTTTTATTGCAGTTAAATAAATTCTCTCAGTTTAATATTTAAATAGTTGTATTGTCTAAATGGTTGTAATTCCCAAAGGTTTCCATTTGTGCTTCAGACAACCCAACAAGTGAACAAACATGTTGTCTTCCTAAAATGTGACATATTTTATATTTGTCTTATTGTTATTCCAAGCCCATTGGTTCCTACTAAGTCCTAAATATTTAAAAACTCAAATATATAGTCTCATCAGTAGTTTTTTCCCGAACTTTACGCTAAGTAGATAATGTGACGACACCCAACCGTGTTTCTTTTCCTAACCTAATCTACATCATTTTACTTTTCTTAACCTAACCTAGGTAAGTTTTCATTAAATGCATAACTTTACATAAAGTACGTAATGTGACAATGCCCAACCCTGATTGTTTCCCTAAATGTAACATTTTTAAGTTAATGTTAAGTACGTAACTTTACGTTATAGGCCTCTTGTTACGTGTACGTAACAAGACACCCAACCATGTTCCTTTTCCTAAACCTAGCCTAAGTAATTTTACTTCCCTGAACCTAACGTAACTTTATGTTCAATATTTAACTTAACGCTAAGTACGAAATTTCATGTTAAGTATGTAACTTTGCGTTAAGTATGTAACGTGCTGATGCCTCATTATACGTAATGTTAAGTACGTAATTTATGTGAAACATGCTGATGGATAACCATGTTTCTTTTTTTAAACCCAACCTATGTAATTTTACTTTGCAGAACCAAACCTACATAACTTTACGTTAAATGTGTTACTGTACATTAATTACGTAACTTTATGTCAAGTACGTAACATGACGACACCCAGTCATGTTTCTTCTCTAAACCTAACCTATGTAACCTTACATTAAACATCTAACATAATATTAAATGAGCAACTATACGTTACGTTGTGACCACTTCTAACCACGATTCTTTTTCTAAACTTAACCTGAGCAGTATGGGTGCTTATTCACGGGGCACTCATTTGTTAGATATCATACAAATCGGCATATGAGGATACATTGCATGATGTCATCAGTCTGTCTGAGCAGCATTGTCATGGACACAACAGAAACAGATCAGTCTGATGTGTTGGGATCAAATTATTTAATGGTTATTTTACAGATTACAGTGGATGTGAGCAGTGGGTGGGTGCAGCCCGGACAGACGCGATGTTCTTTAGCTATGCTGGTTGTGTCTCTGGCAGATATAGCGTAACTTGGTGGAGCAGTGCAAATCATTAAGGCGTCCGTCGTTGTGAAGGTGAGCGCAGTCTTCATCTCCATGGCCATAACCGTGACCGGTCCAGGAGTCAGGCTGACCGGGTTTCCACCGCCTGGAAACCACAGAAACACAGGATGTATACAGTGGCCTCAGAGAGTATTCACACCCCGTCACTGTCTGCACACATTATTGTGCTGATGTCATTTAAATAGACAAGATGCCATTTTTAACAATCAAAACATTTGCTTTCCTTAAATTTGGCACAAGTGTCCACTTGGACTTAGTGTTGAACTAATTAGATTTTGGTGGTCACAGATCAAGGTCACTGTGACCTTCATCACAATTTCATGAACACAGTATCTTAAGAAGGCCTTAAGGAAATTTCCTCAAATTTGGCACAAACATTCACTTGGACTCAAGAATGAGCTGATTAGATTTTAATGGCCAAAGTCACTGAGACCTTGTGTCTGTCACTATAACCTGAAAAAACAACATGTTTTTGGCTATAACTCAAGAGTTCATATGTTAATTATGACAAAACTTGACACAAATGTCTAACAGGATAAAATAATTAAGTGATGATATTTTATATCCAAAAGGTCAAAGGTCAGCTTGACTGTGACATCATCATGTTTTAACGTCATATCTCAGGAACAGAAGGGGAGACATTTGGTCAGAGACTGAATTGGTGATCTTGAAACTGTGCTGATTGTATAGATCTTCCGTGTGTGAAGCATCCACTTATTGGAATTTGACCATATTCCAAAAATTTGCCAACTGTCATGGCTTCATATGACTCTGGACAGACATAGATGTAAACTGTAACTGCATCTTCACCGGTTCACGAAGGCACAGAACCGTGTTGCAGTAATTCTAGTCATTTAATGAGTCTTTAACTTTCTTAGAAATACCTTTTAGATATTTCTAGAATGAAGCTAGTATACCTGCTAATGCTCAGGACAGTTTCTGTAATTTGGTATTTATTTGGGAAATGGAGCAAGTCTTCAGTTGGTAAGTGCTCACTCCTAATGTTTGAGTTTTTAGGAAATTATCTAATAGCATAGACTACATGAAATAATAACCATAGTCACCATGACATCACCCATTGGTTTGTGGACTCCCATTTCGATCCTGCAATTTGGCATTTTGGCCGTTGCCATCTTGGATCTTTGGAGCCAGAAGTGACCATATTTGGATGAGAGAGTGGAGCTGACCCCAATGCTAGCTGCTAGCATGGTTAGCACAGTGCATTTACAGTTATGGTTAACTGTAATAATGCTAATTTTCACCTGCAGAAAAAAAAAAACTGGCTTAAAACCATTAAAACAAAATGTTGTTTTTTTTTGGAAAAACTAATCAGACTCCTTAGAGGGTCTTTTAGTACAGCCAAATGTTTGGTGACTAAAATGTTACACTTAACCTTAACGAACTTAAAACATAGCAAAGAAACAGCGACAGCTTCAGCTGCGTCTATACTCTGTGAGCCTAAGCTCATGTCATTGTTATATTACCTGTCCAATATCGTTGCCTTGATAAAATGTTAACAGGTGCGTTCTATAAAAAATCAGCCCTGTACAGTTGTCATGGATGTTGAAATTAGCTACAGAGACTGGCAAGAGTTATTTCCTCTCAGAACTTATTTGCTGGTGTGCCGTCAGCTGTCGTCTCGTGGTTTGTTCAAGTGCAACTTTTTGACTGAGACACAGCGACGTGAGACAACACAACAGTTGGCTTTTGTCACCACTACTTCTTTAATGTTGGTTTGGTGTTTCTGGACCTTAAAGGTTGAAGAGTAATTCAAAAAAAAATCTCAAGAGTAACAGCCCACCTCCGGTTCATGATGTATGGTGTCTGGTTGACCCACTCCCACTCCCCTCTCTCATCAGTCAGACCCACCCAATGGAAGGTGCCCATGGTATGTTGTTTTATGAATTCCTGAACCAGAGAGACAGACAGGCAGAGAGACAAACAGACATACAGCTGATTTAACTTTATAGCGGAACTCCAACTGGCTTCAAATCAGGAATCCTAAATGTGGATAAAGGTGTCCCACAAGGAGCCACTCTGGGTCCCCTGCTGTTTACTCCATACATAGATTATATTTCTTTTAAACCGACAGACAGGCTGTCTCACCCATTCCTCATCGGTGTTGAGTATGACCAGGTGAGATTCGTGTCCATTACACCAGTCTCTGGCATCGTGCCAGTTCAAAGGTGTCTTGCTGAATAAATAACAGCTGGAACCAAAAGTTTCCCAACCCAGAGGACAACAGCCACCCGCTACTGAACCTAAGAGACAGATGGAGAGAGACAGACAGGTCAGCAGACATACTGGAAAGAGACATGAAGAGAGAGATGATGTCTAAGACAGTTATACCTGTGTCCTCTTGTACATCAGCCATTCAAAGACCAATCACATTTAGAAGTCTGAGTGAGGACATGTTTGGGAATGACAACCTTTTTTGAAAAGTGAGGATATTTTTGGGGAGTGTATTGATTTTGGAAAGTGAGGACATTTTGCAACATAAGAACCATTTTTAGAAAGTGAGAATGTGTTTTGGAAAGGGGGGATATTTTAAAAGAGTGAAGACATTTTAGAAAAGTGTAAACTTGTAAAAAGTGAGGACACTTTTAAAAGTGGGGGTATTTTTATGGAAAGTGGGGACATTGTAAAAAAAAAATTGAGGACACTTGGAAAGTGGTGGCATTTTAAAAAGGTGGGGCATTTTTGGAGAGTGAGGACAACTTTTGAAAGGGGATATCCAAAGTGAGGACACGTCTTTTAAAATGAGAATTTTTGAAAAGTGGAGGTAAAGTAAGCACATTTTGGAAGGTAAGGACATTTTTTTGAAAAAATGGGGAAATCTTTAAGAAACAATGATATTTTTGGAAAGTGAGGACATGTTTTAAAAGTAAGGACATTTTTTGGAAAATGAGGCATCCTTAAGGAGTGAGGACACTTTTGGAAAGGGGAGATTTTTTTAGAATCTGGAGACCTTTAGGAAAGTAAGGATTTTTTGGATATTAGGGACATTTTTATCGGGGGGGTATTTTTAGAACCTGGAGACCTTTAGAAAAGTAAAGAAACTTAGAATCTGGAGATTAAGGACAGTAAGGACATTTTTTGAAAGTGAGGACATTTTAAAAAATACATTTTTTTTGGGGGGGGGGGGGAGTGTGGATATTATTGGAAAGGGGAAATTCTAAGGGAGGACATCTCTTTTAAAATGGGGATAGTTTTTGAAAAGTGAAGGTATTGTGGAAAGTGAGCACATTTTGGAAAATAGGGACATTTAAAAAAAATAGGACAGTGGAAAGTTAGGATAATCTTTGGAAAGGGGAGATTTTTGGAAAATAAGAATATTTTTTAAAAGTGAGGACATTTTTAAAAAGCAGATTTTTGATAGAATCAGGATTGAATGAAGCGTCACAGTTAAGACAGCTTTGTGATCTGTGTGTGTGTGTACTGTTGTTGATGATGCGTTCGATGGCACATTTGAGCTCGGTGACCGTCTTGGTGAGAGAGTCCACAGCTGACAGCTGCTTCAGTGCCTCTGCCACTGAACAAACACACACACACACACACAGACACACAGCACACAACATTACAGTTTTAGATCTGAATAATCTATATTATACAGTATGTTACTGTAAACACTGCAATACTGTAAATCACAGTCTGTACTGTAAAGAATAATTATTAATATTAATAGGAGTCCAGTGAGTGGATGTTCAGCAGTCAGACACACCTGAGGTCAGCTGGTCCCTGTTGCTCTCCACAGCAAACTTCAGGCGGTGGACGTCTTTCGCTGCATCTGGGTCAGAGGAACAGGAGATTCTGATGGATCAGGTTGAAGTTTTAAATCTGGGAGTCTGTTATCTCTTGTATCACATGGGCTGACTGAAGGAACAGACAGTCAGGCAGGTGTGTTACCTTTGGAGAGCTGGTGCGTGGCGCTCATTGCCTCAGTCAAGTTGGAAACACTTTTGTCCGCAGACCACAATCGGCTCAATATATTCGTGTCTATGCAAAACACACACATAAATATAAACATATGTTAATGCAAAATGTCACATAAAGTCATTCTCTGTGTGTGTTTGCATGTTAGGGTTTAAATGTTTACACAGATTTTAAAATTCTCGTTTCCTCGTCATTAATGAAGTTTGAATTGTAAAATACTGAAATGCAGGTAATTAATCACAAAATATTCTTCAGCAGCCCTGCCACCAAAAGGAAATGTTCACAAGGTCCATTTCCAGTATTTTCAAAGTGATGTATCTGAGCTGACTTCGTCATCAGGAGGTGGAGGGGATGGTGGATGGCGTGACATCTAGGAGAGACACCTGCCAAGCTGCAGACTGTTCAACACCAACAAACAACAAAACCGGGTGTTTTTGGACTGAGACATTTATGCATTTCCAGCAGCTTTTTAGCTACCAAATGTGGATGTTTTTTAGAGGCCCGTGTGTTCAAACCACTAACAGTGGTTGTTTTTTTTTTTTACCAAGGCATTACTGTGTTTCCTGCCAGGGTAGTGCCACCAAAATGAGTATCATCGAACATTATCTTTACCTAACCATAAGCAAGTGGTTTTTTGGGCCTAAATCTAACCACATGTTAACCTGAAACTTAAAGACTTGTAAAGTTTCAACATCTCAGCTACATAATAACATACAAATGTATCATGTCTGTGGTTTGCAAGAACGTATAATACCATAAGCTGAGGAAGTAAGTAGTTGAGGAAGTAACCACTGCATCTAAAACATCGATCCAGTGACGATCGTTGTAATAACAGCAGTTAGATGGTGGGCATTGGTGACATGTTCTGCAGTATAAGAACACACAAGCACATACATGCTAACAAGTCATTAAAGAGATGTCATTAAAATGTCGACCTGATGATGGCGTTGGATATAAAGTCAGAAGGTGATTACAATTCATCCTGAGGAGAAGATAAACAATGAACCACAAGCAGAGGACAGACGGACGTTTCTCTTCCGACAGTCGTACTGCCTTAACAAAAAAAAAAGTTCACAGATACCTTATTTGGCACAGATTCCTGGAAAATACCAGAAACCCTGTGTGTGTGTGTGTGTGTGTGTGTGTGTGTGTGCTCTCACTGGTGGCTCCCACTGCTATGATCAGAACCAGGATGACTGTAGCTGTCAGAGCAGGAAACAACCAGCGTCTGTATTTGGAGACACCTGAGTAATAGACTGGAACAGGCTCTGGTGGGCAGAAAGACACATAGACAGACAGACACATAGACGGACACAGACAGACAGGTGAGTTTTTCATTTTACAGTTCAGTATAATCAGTTTTGTCTGACCTCAGCAACATGCACAGACAGACGGACAGACAGACAGGTACCTTTGTTCCAGAAGGAGCTGCTGTCGTCTGGAGCCTCGTCATGGTATTCGGTCGTCATGGCGATGTCTCCCTCTCTGTCTCTCTGCTCCTTCAAACCGTGTGTATCCCCTTCAGGACGTAGAGTGACAAACAGTGTGACTGTCCAAACACCAAGCTGAGGGTCATTGTCCACCAAAATGCACTTTGAACTAAAAAAACACCAGATGTGTGTGTGTGTCGGGAAGTTCTGCTGATGTCACTCCACACTGAAATACACCAACAACCATGAAAGACTCTTTACTGTGTTTTTATTTCCACTAAAAAACTTCAGCTAAAGTGACCAAGAAAGCCTAGATATCTTAAAACTTTTGATTCTTTGGTGTAGTATATTTGTGGAGGGGTAACAGCTGAAGTTGAAGCACTAAAAGAAGTTGAAGTGGTGATTAAAAATAAAGCAAAGACATGTTTAACTGACGGAGCTGCTGACAAAGTCAAAGCTTCAATTTTTATCCTTCACAGTTAGCAAACGAAAATTCAAAACATCATTTTTGGTCAACTTGTAGTCATGATGTTTCCTCTGTTTTTACTCTTTAATCTAACCCAGTAAGGCTGATTCATGGATCATAAATCAGAATCAAGGTGACAGGTTGCATAAAATAATGTGTGTGTCATGTCTCCAGCAGTGTGTGACAGGTTTAAGGGCTGATTTACAAGCACACACTTACTGATCATCATCTGAAAAGCTCAACATCTCTCTATTTATGCTCTCAACAAATAACTAATGTGAGCCAACTAGGATTTGTCCCCAGGTTCATTGTAAACTCTGACTTATCCATGTGACTGTTAAGAAGCAGAAACATAACTTGTTTCTTCATGTGCAACATGTTAGTCTGGAGGTTTAAACTGGTGTCCTCTCACAGAGTTGGTGATTCAAACTAAACTTTCATCTCTGTCAGAGAAAACTGATCTGAGTTCAGACTGTTTACTTACAGCACAGCTACACTCACAGATAACTGAGTCTCCTACCTGCCTGTCAAACACCATCAACCCACAAACCTTCTCCAGTCCGGACTGAGTGGAGTCCTGCGGGGTGAAGCTGTGAAGTCTGTGAGCGGAGCTAGCTGCTAACAGCCACCGCTGCAACTAACAAACTCCACAAATCCATTCAGCAGCTCCACCATCCACAGTTAGACACACACGGCTGATTATTTACTGCTGAATTACAGCTCACAACTTGCACCAACCCAAACATCCTGGTGCAGACTATTTACTGGATTTTACAGCCTGTCAGTCATGCTGCATCTGAAGATAGTTACAAGCATGGCTGTCCTCAGCTTTCAATGTCTGATAGTCCATCACAAACATTTTCGTCTCGTCTCTTGTCTCGATCAAAGAAAATGAAACATAGATTTCATCTTAGTTTTTATTATCAAGATCTATTTTTAGCTTGTCATCATCTCATTTTGGCTATAGTCACCCTATCGTAACTAGCCACCACGCTAACATTAACATTAGCTGCCTCGGTTAATGTTAACGTGGTGGCTAGTTACGATAGGGTGACTAGCCACCACGCTAACATTAACATTAGCTGCCTCGGTTAATGCCAAGTACAAAGCCTTGTTCAAAATAAACATTAATATACTGTATTTTTAGTGATGTTGGCACATACAGACCGAGTCAATGTGAGGTTGCGTGAACAGCATCAATCACTTCCTAGCAATTGATCTGAAATGTGTAGATATGTGAAATCATCAAACTTGTTTATTTCTGTTGACATTTTCAGCTGTAACTGTATCATTTAAATATACTGTATATAGTTAAACACAATCTCCGAACCCATCGGCTGTATTCGGCGTCTGACTTCCGGCAGACGGCGAATACAGCCTCTGGGGGCAGACCCCCGATTTTTTGGCATTCTGGTTTGATTTGGGCGGAGGAGGCGAATTTCCGTTTCCGACTTCCGTTTATATATAAGTAAATATGCTGAAACATCACGATGGATTCAGAGTTTGCAGTAATGCCAATTATGTTCCGCCTCGTTAGTTCACCGCATGGACTGTTTAACCTGACAACAACTGCAGCCGGCTCAAACGTGATTGGTCAATATCACGCGGACTACAAACAGCCTAGCAACGGAAACCAGGGCTCTCCCGCTCTTCTTCCAGAGGCAAGATCTCCGGGGTTTGCCTACAGACTCTACATTCACTGAATGTAGACTAAGTTAAACTTGATGGTCCAAACTATCTGACGTTTCTGCTGTGATTATTGTATGTACGTATATATGTACGATTTTGCTTTGATAAACCAAATCTACCGTCACAGATGCCATTTTTTTCAAGTGTATTGTGAATAATATTTCTATTTTACCTTACAAACTGACTGAAGATATTTTGTCATGTTGTTCTTGAGATATCGTGTTAACAAGACTGAGACAGATGCGTGGTCAAAGTGACCTTGACCTTTGACCAACCAAATCTATTTAGATCATCGTTGAGTCCAAGTGGTTGTTTGTGCCAAATTTGATGAAATTCCTTCAAGGCTTTCTTGGGATATTGCATTCATAAGTATGCAACAGATGGACGAATGAACAACCTGGAAACATAATATAATAAACATAATAAAACTGTAGCTGGAGTGTAAATGCAAAAAGTAGATTTATATGTTTTTTTCTTTAAATAAAATCTCACAATTTCATTTCATGCACTACAAAAATCTATTGCCCTTAAACAATACTATGACTTTCATCAGATTAATACTCTTTCTATACACATTAGACATAAAACAATACCATTTATTCTTATTTCAGAAAGTTTACAATGATGTCAGGTTGTATTTTATTATTACTGTCTTCTGAGCTTCCGGTGGCAGCTCATCAGTGATGAGCCCAATCTATGATGCGTTTCCTGTCACACACAAGTTTAAAACTGATGATCAGTTCAGATTATTTAGTGGTGTTTAGGTTACACCCGTATGAGTGGAGCTGGGTGGAGCTGTTTAGCCACGCATGCTGTGTGTCTGGCAGATATAGCGCATCTTGGTGGAGCAGTGCAGGTCGTTGAGGCGTCCATCGTTGTGCAGGTGAGCGCAGTCTTCGTCCCCTTCGCCCAAACCGTGATCTGCCCAGCTGTCAGGCTGACCGGGCAACCAGCGCCTGGAAACCACACAAACACACACAAGATGGTTCAAAGGAACTGAAATAAAAAAATAGATCAAAAGTAATTGAAGGAATACTCTGTTTTGTGACAGCACCCCAAATCCAAAATTAGAAACCCAAATGTGCAGAGTTTGTTAACATGATGAGTGAACCTGGAGGTCAACAGGATGTACCTGCGCTCTATGGTGTATGGCACCCAGTTCACCCACTCCCACCGCCCGGTTCTCCAGTCTGACAGGCCAACCCAGTAAAACAGAGGAACTGTACGTGCGGTCACATAATCCTGAACAGACAGACATTATCAGACGTGCATTCAAATATTTTCAGTAGTAACTCTTTAAAACTCACACGCACAGTCAGCAGGCTTCATCCTCTGGAGAACATGAATGACAGCACCATTTAATGACAATCTGTCTCATAGTCGTTGTGATATGTAACATTTGATATTAATGTTGTATTATTGACTTTTGGTTTCACACAGGAAGCAAAGAGCAGGTTCCTGGGTGAAAGTCCAGCATTTGTATGATCCATTAACCACCCCTCCCACCTGCCCTGTAGTGATTTTCTCACTCTTTATATCATGGCACAAAAGTCTACTTTTACTCAAAGATGAACTGATTAAGTTCAGGTGTCCAGGTGTTCCTGAGATATTGTGTTCATGAGAATGAGATGAATGAAGTCACAGTGACCTTGACCTTTGACCTGTGACCATCAAATTCTAATTGTGACGACCCTCTCTGCCCTGCCTGCCTTGTTGTGTTCTCCCTTGCAGGTAGCAGTGGGCGTGGCTGCGGGTAATCAGGGAAGTGGCAGCACCTGAGCTCAGTGAGCTTTTAAAAGCTCTGGCTGCTCACTGCTCTTTCTCTTCTCCTTCCTGAGGCAGCATTTGGTTTTGGGTTTGGTTTTATCTTAGTTTCTGCACCCTACAACATCACACACATACATTGTTTCACTCATGCCCTCACCTACACCACTGACTTTACTGATTGCAAATACCATGTTTAGTTAGGTTTTTTTTCTTATGTTTATTCTTTAGCAAATAAAATCCTTTAATTGGCTTTCCTTGTGTATGTGTCTCCCTCTTTGTCATGGCCGTGTGGCCCGGTTCGTGACAAGTGGGGGCTCGTCTGCTCAAATTTGATTGGTTTGAGGCCGTTGTTTGGTGCCCTTGTTGATCTGGGGTTTTGTTTGTTGGTGCATGGGGTTGGCTTAGACATAGACTATAGTGATAGTGATGTCTATTGTGCCTTGTGCTTGGGAGATGCATTTTGAATAGGAAAGTTCATTTTGGGTTTTTTTTGGTTTGGTTGTTGTTTCAGTTAAGAGGAGTTTGGTCCTGTGCTCAGTGTGTTGACTGAGAGGGCAGGTGTGGGCTATCAGCAGTGTGGCAGGGTAGTGGCTAGTGTATTGAGTGTTGTTTTTGTGGAGTTTCCCTTGATAGGTATAGTAATGTGGTCCTTTTGGGCTCGTTGGTTTGTTTTTTTAGTTTGTTGTTTTTGTGTGGTGTGCAGGTAGAGCAGTTGTCTCGGGGACACATCCATAGCTGTTGGGTGTGTAACCAGCTTGGCTGGGGGCTTTGCCAGGCTACTGGTTTGAGTGTTTAAATATCCCACCGCTAATCTGCATGAAGACTAGGGTTCAGTGAGATTAGGTAAGTTTGGTATAGGCAGTCTTGATAGAGGGGAACTTCACATTAACTTGGGGGGACACTAGTAGTGTCTCTTTGGTGCACTAGTTGGCCTGGGCAGCACTGTGTGTGGCTCTGTTGTCCTGTTTTCTTTTGCTGAGCTTAAGACAGTGTTTACTGTAGGATGGCAGGGATAGAAGAATTTCTTGCTGCCCCAAATGAGGGTTTTTTGGATCGATGCACTAAGGATCAGCTGACGAAAATTGCAGAGGAGTCTGAAGTTGATCTGAGTGATCTTAGTGACAAACGTAAGGACAGCATGAAGGCTATGCTTAAGCTGCAGTTAGTTGAGAAAGGGGTGTTGGGTGCAAAGAAAGAAGGACTTGGTCAGGCACTAGCAGCACAGTCACTTTCAGTTCCAGTGGGAAGTTTGACCTTTGAGCAGCAAAAGGAGTTGCTTTTGTTACAGTTGTCTCATGAGAAGGAGAGGCAGAATGCTGAGACAGAAAGGTATAGATTGGAGGTGGAAAAGCAGGTCGAAATTGAATGGTTGCGGCTTGAGACAGAGCAGGCAAAGATAGCGCTGCAGACTGCTAGGTTGGGTTTAGTCAGAGATGGTAAGCTTTCTGAGGATGTCTTGCACGGCGAGGAAGGTTCATCTTCGCTCCCTAGGGCTCCTGATGTTGTGAGGAATTTGCGGCTTTTGCCTAAGTTCAATGAGAAGGATCCAGATGTTTTTTTCTCTCTGTTTGAGCGGGTTGCACAGGCAGGGGGTTGGTCAGACTCTGACCATATTTTGTTGTTGCAGTGTGTGTTGTCTGGGAAGGCACAGGAGGCTTATGCATCTTTAAGTAATGACAATCTTACTTATAAGTCAGTCTAGACTGCTGTACTAAAGGTGTATGAGTTAGTCCCGGAAGCCTATCGCCAGCGTTTTAGGACGTGGGAAAAAAGGGCTAACCAGTCGCATATGGAGTTTGCGAGGGAGCTGACTACTCATTTCAATCTTTGGTGTATGTCTTCTGATGTTGGAGATTTTGACAGCTTGTGTGATTTGATCATCTTGGAGCAGTTTAAGAACTCTCTGCCCAGTCGGGTGGCTACACATCTTACTGAGCGTAAGGTTAAGACTGCGGCTGAGGCTGCGTAACTAGCAGATGAATATGTCCTCATTCATAAAAGCCAGTCGGGTGAGCCTGTGCAGGAGCCTGTGAGGCACAAGGATGCTGGTGGTAGGTCGCCTGTTCGCTTTGGGGGTTCTTCGGGTAAGGGGGCCCGGGGAACACCAGGAAAAGGAGAGAATTTGTGCCATTACTGCCATGAGCCAGGCCACTGGAAGTTAGACTGCCCAATACTTAGGGCTAGGAAGCAGCACGTAGGAAGTGGCCGTGTAAAACCCGCTGCCCTGGCTGCAAGTGTTCCTGGTCCTGTGGATGTGGTAGTGTGTCAAGGTGGGAAGGCAGAATTTGGTGTGGCTGACGACCCCAGTGAGTCCTATAGGCCTTTTGTCTCTGATGGGTTTGTCACACAGGCTGGTAGTAATACTAAGGTTCCCGTTAAGATCTTGAGGGATACCTGTGCTGTTAATTCTTATATTGTGGAATCTGTTTTGCCGTTTTCAGAGAAAACTGATACTGGGGATAAGATCCTTATGCGAGGAATGGGGTTGGGGTTGGTGCCTGTCCCATTACATAAGATGACCTTAGACTGTGGCTTGGTGCATGGCGAGGTGCCTATTGCTGTGAGACCAGCATTACCAGTTGAAGGGATTGATATCATTCTGGGTAATGATTTGGCTGGCAGTCGTGTCTGGGCAAGTGAGCCACCACCTCCAGTGGTCACTGCTTCTCCTTTGAGTTCAGAGCAGTCTGATGAAAGTGCTGTGTGTTTTCCTGAAGTTTTTCCGGCATGTGCGATTACACGGGCGATGAGTCGGGCTGAGTCGAAGGAAGGGGAAGGGGAGGTGGAGACTGTGTTGCCATGTTTGCCTGATTTCCCTTTGTCTGTGTCTCACAGTGACCTGCTGAGTGAGCAGAGAGCTGACCCATCTTTGGAAGAGCTGTTTGGGTCTGTGCTGTCAGCCAGTGAGTTGAAAAATGTTGCCAGTGGTTACTTTATTCAGGATGGTATTTTGCTGAGGAAGTGGTTGCCCCATGGTGAGGATTTTGTTGGTGACCCCATTTTTCAAATGGTAGTTCCATCCAAGTTGCGTAGCCATGTGTTGGAGCTTGCTCATGACAGGTCGGGGCACTTTGGGGTCCGGAAGACCTATGATAAGATTTTACGCCTTTTTTTTTGGCCTCGATTGAAGAAAGATGTTTCTCTGCACATTAAGAACTGTGGTACTTGTCAGCTAACTGGTAAGCCGAACCAAGTCATTAAACCAGCTTCACTGCAGTCGATTCCAGCTGTTAGTCAACCATTTGAGTACTTAATCATTGATTGTGTGGGGCCACTGCCTCTTTCGAAGTCAGGGTGCCAGTACTTGCTAACTGTCATGTGTCAAAGCACCAGGTATCCAGCAGCTTATCCTTTGCGCACAATAACTGCAAGGTCTGTGGTTAAGGCTCTGTCACAATTTATATCTGTGTTTGGCATCCCCAGGGTGATCCAGAGTGACCAGGGATCTAACTTTTCTTCTCATCTGATAGCCCAAGTGTTGAAACTGTTAGGGATCAGGCATAATCAGTCAACAGCCTATCACGCTCAGAGTCAAGGGGCTCTGGAGCGTTTCCACCAAACTCTCAAGGCTCTTTTGCGGGCTTATTGTGTTGATCTGGTTGGGGACTTGGAGGAGGGGCTACCCTGGTTGCTTTTGGCTGCACGGGAGGTAGTGCAAGAAAGTACAGGGTTTAGCCCAAATGATTTAGTGTTTGGCCACACTGTGCGGGGTCCCCTGTCTCTGTTTAAGGATGGGTGGAAGGGGTCAGACCCACCCACCAACCTTATTGATTATGTAAATGGTTTTAAGCACCGTCTGTATTCTGCAGGGGAGTTGGCAAAACAAATGTTAGCTGCTTCACAAGCTAAAATGAAGAAAAAGTATGATCGTCTGGCTGAGGTTCGTGAGTTTAGTACTGGTGATTTTGTTTTGTCTCTTTGTCCGCTGGTTAGTTCTCCCTTCCAGGCCAAGTTTTCTGGTCCATATACAGTGGTTAAACGGGTCTCAGACCAGAATTATTTGATTTCAACTCCAGGCCTTAGGAAGCCTGAGAAACTGTTCCATGTAAATCTGTTGTAACCCTATTATGCTCACTCTTCTAGTCCACCCAGTGCTGTCCAGCATGAGTCAATGGCGGGGAGTCCTGCCTTGGTAGCTGGCACAGTTGGAGAGTTTTCTGATGAGGGTGGGGGCGAGGCTGTTTTTGAGCCTGATGAGGGGTTGTTGTTTGGTCGGCTGAAAAATTCAGAGACCCTCAAGAACTTAAAGGGTCAGTTCAGCCATTTGCCAGCAGCACAGGCTGTGGAGTTTGAAGAGCTTATTTTTAAGTATCCTGGTCTGTTCGGTGACGTGCCCTCCCGTACTGATTGGGCTGAGCACGATATTGATGTGGGTGATGCACAGCCTATCCGTCAGCATTTTTATAGAGTTTCTCCTGAGAAGCGTAAATATTTAGATGCTGAGGTGAAGTATATGGTTGATAATGACATTGCAGTGCCTTCTCTGTCAAGCTGGGCTTCTCCATGTTTGTTGGTGCCTAAAAGTGACAACACGCCCAGGTTTTGTTCGGATTTCCTAAAGGTTAACAAGGTGACGAAGCCAGATTCTTTTCCGTTGCCTCGAATGGAGGATTGTGTAGACCAGGTGGGTGCTGCTAGGTATGTCAACAAGTTTGATCTGTTGCAGGGTTACTGGCAGGTGCCCTTGTCCAAAAGAGCACAGGAAGTGGCAGCTTTCATTACTCCATCTGGGCTGTACTCCTATAAAGTGATGCCATTTGGGTTGAGAAATGCACCGGCAACTTTTCAGCGTTTGATGAACCGTGTGGTGGCTGGCTGGTTGTGCAGTTTACTTGGATGATTTAGTTGTCTACAGTGATACCTGGTTTTCTCACATGCAGCGGGTGAGAGCTCTGTTTGACTGGTTGGCAGAGGCAAAGCTCACAATTAATCTGACTAAGTGTGAGTTTGCTCGTGCAACTGTGACTTACTTGGGTCGGGTGGTTGGACAGGGGCGGGTGGCTCCTGTGCATGCTAAAGTGTTGGCAGTTGAGCAGTTTCCGCAGCCTACCACTAAAAAAGAACTCATGAGATTTCTTGGGATGGTGGGTTATTACAGGTGTTTCTGTAAGAATTTTTCTACTGTTGTGGCACCGTTAACTGACTTGCTGAAGGCCAGGGCTCAGTTTGTGTGGTCGCCAAAGTGCCAGGAAGCTTTTGGCAATGTGAAGTCTATTTTGTGTGCAGCACCAGTGCTGGCTGCACCCCGTTTTGACCAGCCTTTTGTCTTACAGGTGGATGCGAGCCATGTAGGAGCAGGGGCTGTGTTGATGCAAGCCGATGAGCAGGGAATTGACAGAGTAGTCAGTTTCTTTTCTAAAAAAATTAATTGACATCAGTTAAATTACTCAGTGGTTGAAAAGGAAGCCCTTGCTTTGATCTGGGCCCTGCCAATTTATCCTCGTGTCCAAGTAGCCGTTTGTGCCAATTTTGAGGAAATTCCCTAAAGGTGTTTTTGAAAAATCGCATTCATGAGAATAAGATGGCCACAAGGGCACAGTGACGTTTGGCCACCAAATTCTAATCAGTGTATCCTAAAGTCCAAGGGGACGTTTGTGCCAAATTTGAAGAAATTCCCTCAAGGTGTTGCTGAGATATTGTGTTCACGAGAATGAGATGAACGAGGTGACAGTGACCTTGACTTTTGACCTATGACCACCAAATTCTACTTAATTCATCCTTGCAATCAAGAGGACGTTTGTGCCAAATTTGAAGAAATTCCCTCAAGGTGTTGCTGAGATATTGTGTTCACGAGAATGAGACGAACGTGGCCACTGTGACCTTTGTCCTGTGACCATGAAAATCTAATCAGTTCATTGTTAAGTCCAAGAGGCTGTTTGTGTCAAAGTGGAGGAAAATTCCTCAAAGTGTTTTTTAGATACTGTGTTAACAAGAATTGGAGAGATGGACAACCTAAGAACGTAACGCCTCCGGCCTGTCGCTGGTGCAGAGACATAAAAACAGAGAGGTGTACTCGTCTGCTGCAGAGCTGTGTTCACCATGTAGGAGCTGCCTGCATCTCTGGATACAGATGAGTCCAAACAACATCACACTTTAGACAGACAGACAGACAGACAGACAGACTCACCCAGGCCTTGTCATCGTGGAGTATGAGCAGGTGAGCTTGATGTTGTTCACACCAGACTCTGGACTCGTTCCAGGACAGAGCCAAACTGCTGAAGAAATAACAGTTGAAGTCAAACTGATCCCAGCCCAGAGGACAACATCCGTCCTTTGCTGTGCCTGCTGTGCCTGAGGGACAGACAGACAGAGAGACAGACAGACAGGTACACAGGTACACAGGTGTGAGTATCTGCCTGTCTGTAAATGTGTACTAAATATATATCACTGTGTGTGTATGTACTGTTGTTGATGATGCGTTCGAGGGAACATTTGAGCGACAAGACGCTCTTGCTGAGAGAGTCCAAGACCGACAGCTGCTTCAAGGCCTCTGACACTGAACACACACAGTAAATACAGTGTTTAAACACGCACAATGCATCAGCATGAACGCACTTAAGATACATTTAAGGATTTACAGTGTTATTTTATCGTATGAATCAGTTACCAATACAACAACGACCGGTACCTTTGGGCACTTAAATTAAGGTAAAGAAAAATAAAACAAGACTAAGTAGAACAGGTCAAGCAGAAACCTTCGAGGCTGAAACATGAAGCCAAAAACTGCATTTTATTATTATTTTAAGGTTTAAAGTGACATCATTTCCTCCAAACTTCAGTGAAATGCTTTCTATCCAAATCACTCTCTTGTTCCTGAAAGTGTTGTTAGAACCAGATTCATGTAAGTCACCGGCTGTACTGTGATTATTAATAGTAGGAGTCCAGAGAGTGGACGTTGAGCAGTCAGACAGACCTGAGGCCAGCTGGTCTTTGTTGTTCTCCACAGCAAACTTCAGCCGCTGAGCTTCTTCAGCTGTCTCTGGAATGAAGGACAGGAAACTGAAGTATTTCGCTCGTTAGTTACACATCAGTTGACATTTCTATTGCTGTCATCTCTTTGTGCTTAACTTAGACGTAAACTACCTTATCCTCTACTCTTCAAATGACTGTTGAACTCCTTTTATCACACTTAGACTAATACTTAAAGGTCCAGTGAGTCAGATTTAGGAAGATTTAGTGGCATCTAGTGGTGAGATAACAGATTACAACCAGCTGCAATTTCTCCTGGTTAGAATTCCTTCAGTGTTCATTGTTCAGGAGCTGAATTATCCTCAGAGGCCTCTTCCTCTCAGAAACAAACAGATTTAAACCAGGAAAAACACTGAATAAAACATTCATGTTACAAAATCTGTGTTTTTTGACGTGGCCGATATGAAAACATGAATCTGTACGAAGCTTTATCTAGAGCCAGTATTTGGTTTGTCCATTTTGGGCTACTGTAGAAACATCCCAGTGCAACATGGTGATCTCTGTAGACAAGGACCTGCTCCCATGGGCAGTATTTCTATTACTTGTATTTAAAATACGTATTTCAGTTACATTTGAGTATTTTGTAATTTGTATTTGATAAGGCCGATAAAAAGCAAATGTAATTTGTAACAAAATACTTTTGAGTGGAGTATTTTTTTCTATTTAAAATACTCAAAATACTTTCTCCATGAATCAAAAAACACAAATAATAGGCTACACATTCTTATAATATTGGATGTAACAATATTTTTTACTTACATATATATATATATATATTTGTAGCTATATGTTTTTTGAAACTTGGGCCATTCAATGTGCCCTTCAATGACCTAGTGGTCTGTTTTACTGGACTGTGCATGACATAGGAAATTGTATGTTGTTGTGGTTGATGCTTGGGATGAGTCTGCTACAAATGAATTGCCTCACGTGGGATCAATAAAGTGTCTGAATCTAAATCTGAATCAATAAATAATATTTTAGGGTAGCCTACAGCCCAAACCTGAATACTCACACTGTGAGAAAATAAGTGCAAATTTGCAGTAGCTGCAACCAAATTTGCTACTATCACGCCATTAATAGATGAATCATGGTTGTTCTTTCTGGCATAGTTACTTGTGGTTTCTAATTGCAGCATGTAAATTCTGAGCATTTTTGGTCAAGGACTTTTTGAGTTATTCACAAAAAGATTTGAATCAGTTAGTATAGCGCCACCTATGGACGAATTGTGGGCATTCTTTCTGGCATAGTTACTCATGGTCTCTAGTTGCAGTATGCAAATTTTGAGCATTTTTGGTCAAGGACTTTTTGAGTTATTCACGAAAAGCTTTGCGGACCAACCGACCAACCAACCAACCAACCGACCGACAGAGTGATCTATAGAGCTGCGGGTCGCTGCTAAAAAGAGAAAGAAAAAAAGTATTTTCTGTATTTGAAAATACAAAATACATGCATTTTATTTTGATACATTTATTTGAGGGGTATTTTGTGTTTTGTATCAAAATACATTTTGATGTATTTTTGCCCATCTCTGCCTGCTCCCTATGTAGATATAAACGTCTAATTCTAAGGTAACATGAACACTAACATTCTTATTTCAATGTTTCTCATAGAACTGTTAGTATGATATCCTACAAATTTGTGTCCCATGCACAAATTATGTTATGTCCTTACATACAGTTACGTAATCAACGTAGGTTATTTTAAGGCTCTGAACATGTGACTTCAGGGCTAAAGGCCTTTGCACACAGTCTGAAACTTTCATCTGTCATTAAAGTTTTTGGAACAGGTTCAATTTTCGGCGTTTTTCATATCTGTCAGAGCCTTTAGAGACGTTTGACCAAGAATAAGTGAAGAAAATGTGGCGGTTGGACACAGCTGAGATAAGACAGAGGAACGGGTTGCACAGAATCACTTCATAACTGAGACAGCTACTTTCAACAGGTCAGATAGTAATATTCAGGTGGATGATGATGAGGAGGAGGAGGTTGTGGATCGCACACAGAATGTGGAGGACAGCTCCGCCCCTTCCTGCAGCTGTGGTGCCGAATGAAAGACAGGGAGGGAGTGATGACTGTCAGTTAGGTAACTCCAGTGGAGAGAGGCAAAGGAGGAAATGTGTCTCTTCATTTTGTCATGTGTTGCAAATTTTCGCATCAAATTCAACAATAAAATGCATTGGAATCAGTGTGAAAGGTTTATGTATGTAAAAAAATGTTTTTCGGATGACTGATTTAAAATATGCATCCAAAAAAACCCTGACTCAGTGTGCAAAAGCCTTAAGTCGCACGCGAAAGTCTGTTTTTTTGTGACCCATCCACCATCCCAACCTGCCTCCTTGCAAGTGCTTGGGACCACTTCCTCATTTACTGCCATCAACACATTGGTCACGTGATCGCAGATATTTCAAAATACATGGGATATGTACGAATTTGGATGCATTGCTTTTCATAGGAAAACATACGTAAAATTTGTGGGAATAGCCTGATTATTTTCAGGTGATTATACAGTGAAGAAAACAGACTTAATTTGGTTTCTCTTAATAACCCAGACTTTATAATTTTTTACTTTGTACTCTGTCAGTCTGACATAAAAAGAAACCTTACCTTGAGTACTTTTATTCATTTTATTTTCTCTTTCTGTCAGAAGTTGGGTTCTCTACCTGAGCTCATGAAAAATTTTCTTTAACTTTTCCTACCCTGAGCATGCAGGACTCACTATACGGGGCTAAAACAGCAATACACTCCATCCTGCATTTTATTTTTAAATCATAAGACATGAGTGTGTGATCACCGCAGTGTGTGTGATTGGGTTACCTTGAGCATGCTGCAGTGAGGCATTCAGTGATTGGATGACGCTGGTCAGGTTGGAAACGCTCTTCTCCATCGCCCTTAGACGATTTGACGTATTTGTGTCTGATTACAAACACGCACACAAAGACAGCAGTAACTACAAGAGTGTAAAACACCACATTTATGAAATAAGAAAATAAAACATTGTCAGATCAAATCAAATACTGTATTACTGTATTTTTGGGGCATTTTATAGTTCTAAGCCCCCCTCTCTGTTGTGTCCGCACCACAAGAACTAGGAATGATCATAGTTCTCAGAACGCTGTCTTGACAGACTTTTTTTAGCTCCTATTTCCCAACACAAGAGGAACCATTAATGATGTAAGTGTACAGTGACTGGTAGAACATGTGAGCAGATGTGGCACTGGCAACCTCCATTTTATTTTTTTATTTTTGCCATGTAAACATCAGACAACACAAAACACAAACAGCTCGCAATAAAACAAACCGAATCAAGCATTGACAAATGGAATGGCAGTGAAGTCCAGGCTTCACTGAGCAGATATGTGATGGTGGAAATACGACGCCTTTTTGATTCGTCTAAGTAGAAGTGACAGTGCTATACCAACTAATGGCCAGCTCACAGTACGTCACTTCAGCGTTTGTTGGTGGTGTGAATGCAAACAGAAAAAAGGACTTGGAGGTCTGTAGTTCTTGGGGAAGCTCTCCAGAACTTCTGGGTCCAAAAAGGCGTAATGTCTGAATAATCTGAAGACCATCAAAACTAGGCTAGTTAGCAGTTTTTAGCTAGTTCAGTTTTTTCTACATTGTGATTATATTTAGCTGCTGCCTTATTTATGGGGTATAAAACAAACTCAAACATGTTTGTGCATCAAAATTGATCTGTAAATGACAGGAAACTGATTGTAGAAGGTAAACTAATTAGCTTTAGCGATGGAAGGAGAGGGTGGTCCTCACAAGTGACCATGAAGTCAGTGGACCCCACAATGTCTGTGAGTGTTTGTGTGTGTGTGTTAATGTGAGTGTGCTCACTGCTGGCTCCCAGTGCTATGATCAGAATCAGGATGACCACAGCTGTCAGGGCAGGAAACAGCCAGCGTTTGAACCTGGATAGACCTGAGAGAGAGCCAGGAGGAACGTCTGACAGACAAACAGATGAACGAACAGACAGACAAACAGAAAGACAGTTCATCAGCTGTTTATGGTGTGATATAGCAGTGATCATATTTGCAGTTGATAAGACAGATACCTTTGACCCAGAGGGCGCTGTTGTCCTGGTCCTTGTCATATTGGTAGTCCATCATGTTGATGTCTCTCTGTCTGTTGTCCTTTAAGATGAAGACAATAAGTCTGACAGTCCAAGCTCTGTCTCCCTGAACACCAACCAAACTACAGGCAGGAATTAGACTTAATAATCTGAAATCAAAGTCAGTTTGGAGTTTTCTACATGAGCTGATTGAATACTGTGTTCAAATGAAACTCGTTTGCTCGTGGTTATCACATGGCACATCATGGTGCACCTGGTGCTGAAGTGGTTAAGCTAGTGAGCTTGTAACTTTTATTTTTATTTCTTTTAAGTTTATTTATTTGTTTTTTTCCTTTGTTCATTTTCTGGCGATTTTTAAGGAAAACATGCCGTTATTGTTGGATTTACAAATTTCTGACAGTCCTTGAACACATTGTGTTCATGACAAAATCTGGCAAAAAAAAGTCAAGAGTCAGGGATTATAATATAATACACAAAATTAGAGTAGTTACTGAGGAACTAATGAGTATCCAATCCATTTTATTTATAAAGCACAATTTAAATAAACACAAAGGTTTCCAAAGTGCGGAACTAAGCTACACAAAATTAGAGTAGTTACTGGGGAACTAATGAGGAACTAATGAGGAACTAACTATTAGTTAATGGTCAGTTCTTCATTAACTCATGATCAAATTTCATAGAGGGGTTAATCACGACTTAATGATTAGTGAACTAGTTACTTCATCAGTACAGAATCATTACTCAATAACCCGTCCATTAGTTAACCTTTTTATGTCCTAAAGTAAAGTGACACATAATGAGTAGTCTTTCATTACTTCATCATCATCTTTACAATTAGTTCCTTAACAAATAAAATCACAGACAGCAGGATTCTTGAGAAGAGTTTTATTCATTATTTTCAGGCCACATACACATTAATATGACCATCTATGTTATTCTGTACAAGGTGCTGACACACCAAACCGACATCAAAGAACTAGGGGCAGCAAAAGCCAGCTGTTGTGTCGTCTACGTCGCCTCACATCACCCTGTGTCAGTTGCATTTGAACACACTACAAAGACTACACCCAACGCTTGAAACTGTTACTCATTTATTTTGGCGAACAATACTGAAAAAGAATTTAAGCTGTTTTGGAGGGATGTGCTGTTTGGACTTTTTGACTTTAACAGAAATACGGCAAAACCCGTTGAAAGATTTATTATTAATCTCATCTTACTTTGGCAAGATTTCACATTCACAAATGTAAGTTTACACATAGAAAACCTTCTTTTGTTGCTTTCGTTACATCGATTCCATTAAATTTTCCCTTAATCAAAAGGCAATCAAAACCATTAATATTTGTGATCATTTTAATGTTTTCTTGTAAACTCTTATCCCCGTGGCATATGTGATATATGACATATATGTGTAATGTTGAAGATCTGCATTCTATAAACTTCCTGTCTTAAATAAAGTTGTGGGGGAAAAAAAGAAGACTACATCCGACGGCCAAGTAGCACGTACGTTCTGCGCCTGCGTGAAAGTAAATAATGCAAAAAGGGAAACCGGAAGTCCGATGAATGCATGAGATCAACAAAGTAGCGCGGAGTGAGAGAGTGGTACATCCTGTCAGCCGAGGGGTTTCCTATCTGTGCAGCCGAGCACTGCAGCACCTCCACGGACTATTACATCCAGACGGTCCCGGTGTTTCCTCCGCAGGCTCCACTTCACTCAGCTGCCCGATAAACCCGCTGCTTCTTCCCAAGTCATTGGGAACTTCTAACTAATAGTTAGTTCCTCATTAGTTCCTCAGTAACTACTCTAATTGTGTGTACCTTATTGTAAAGTGTTACCAATAATAATAATAATGATAATAATAATGATGATAATAATAATAATAATAATTATAATTTGCACTGTAAAAATGTAATCATACACAGAATAATTGTAAAAATAAAATAAAGGACATCTGCTTGGATTACCATGTCAAGCTGACAAAATGTAAAAAAAAAACAACAAAAAAACAATTTGCAGTATATTTTATTATTTTCTTGAAATGACAAGATCATTATCTCATCATTTAAAAATAACTACAGCAGCTGGATATGAATCCATATGTTCTGAACTGGACTACAGAAGGTGTAAGGGCCTGAAGCAGTTGGCAGTGGTAAAAATAAAAATAAAAATAAATGACTGCATACTGAAAATGAACTGAAAACGAACATTGAAAGGGAAAAGGACAGTTAGGACAAATACATGATATATAAGAGTTCAAAAAGTTGTAGTTAGTAATGTTGGAGGATGCCTCGGGAAAATTAAAAGCTTTCAGTTATAATGTACTTCATACAGTTTAGATAAGATCATTACAAATGGTGGCCTAATTTTGTTTTAAGATATGTGAATTAAAATGAGAATTCAAATTGACTTGTAGCCTATATTTTATAAGGGCTGACAAGTTTTTCTTTTTTTTTCTTTTTTTAAACTGACAGATGATTTGAAAACAAACCTCTAGCTGTATGGTATTTTGTTTTATATGATATGACTGAGCACAAGTGGCCCTACCTTAACAATTCTGTCTATACAGTGTTCATAGTAAAGAAAGATTTTTGTTTCAAATCAAAGGATAGATTGCTGTAGAATATAAATCTACTTTACAACAGGTTTAGAGTCACCATGAAACAAGAAATGCAATTTTAAAAGGAGTTTGGTTCACTTAGCATAGTAATCAAGATAGCGAGTCTGGTGGTACAACAACATATGTGCAATACAAAAACTAACAAACAAACATCTGTTAAAACTTTATATCAGGTGTCTCTGAAAGAAGGAATCAGACAAACGACAAACTGACTCACCTTGTTGAAGTCTCTGCAGAAACAGTCCAGAGGACTCCAGAAACAAGAAACTCTGAAACGCTCCTCCTCCCATCGATCAACAAACTGTATTAAACTGCTCAGTCATCACTTCTAAAACAAATCTGGATCCAGTCCAACATTTCATAACATTTCTCCGATGTTATACATTTTTACTTTTTTTCTGTTTCCAATGAATCCTCCCAAGATTCAACATAAGTCAGAACTTCCCTTTTTATTGTTACAGATTGTTCCGGCAGGAAAACTGATCACCAGTCGACACTTCCTCAAAATAATGTTTACACGAAGGTTCAAATCAAACTCTGTAGGAATACACTCCTTTAACCTTTGACACCATGCAACCACCCTCACTGTTAGGCTGTGTGTCAGCATAGTGTTTTTCTCTGGCAGAAAAACATTGGCACGGCGCTGGGGAGCACTTCATCTCATCCTGTCAGTGCTTTTCTCTGAGCTTACAATACGTACGGCGAGAAAAGTACAACACAAACCAACAACATTCAGTGTCTGACTTATTCTTCTTCTATGGTCCAGGGCTTCTCTGTCTTTGTTGTCATAGTTTCTGACTGACATAGATAGACAGAAGCTGATTCATATAGTGGCTGCAGAAAAAAATTTTAAGCACTGAAAAAAGAAGCTGGGTGAAGCGCTTTTTGTCTAGGCGGCCACAGACAGTCTCTCCTCATTAGAAACAACTGGAAAAAGACATCGGCGCTGAGAAACAATCCTCATGAACAAAGTTGCTTATACAACTTACATGTATCTGTCAGTGAAATATTTAATTATTTGTTTTCTAAGTTTGTGCTTTACTTTTCAGACCGAGATGCTGTATTTAGCTTAACGCTAACATCAGCACGCTAACATGCTCACAATGACAATGCTAACATGTTAAAAGAGGATTGTACTTCAATTACGTAGTCTCACGAGGGACAGAATAAAAATGAGCACATGCTCGACTGTGCAGGAAGCTGATTACGACCACTTACACCCTCTACTGGCCAAAGTGATAATGACAGGAGCAGAGGAGGATGTGACGTAAAAAGCATCAAAGTTTGTGTAATGTTGTATAAAGATCAAAGTCCCCAGGAGACTGGTGTTTGTGCTCCCTTTAATACTAAACAGGTAAAATGTTAGCTTAGCATGTTAGGCTGCTAGCATCAGTTAACAGTGCTGGACAATGAGTCCCAAGGGACCGTACACATGCCATGTCTTTAACCGCCTGGAAAACACAAAGTTGGGCACTGGATGCTACTATGCTTTCTGGAGGTAGTTGACAGGTGAGACGCTCTGACAGCTCTGCACTAACATGATCAACCTCTCCTCCATATTTATCACACACTGATATTTACTGAAGAAGGAAAGGGATCTGTCAGCTGTGATTGGTTGGTCCTCATCACATGACATGCTGTGTGCACTGCTGTATTCCAAAAGTTGAACTCTGTTTATCTCAGGGCACAACCCCTGAAAAATAGGCGCTCAGGAAACTGTGCGTGCTGCTCTGGCGTTGCTCAGGCGTTTGAGCGCATCTTTCGCGTGCAACGGCCACTTAAACCCAGAAATGAGTCATCACGTTATAACTTCCTGTTCACTCATCTCAAAGTCAGTGTGTTCTTTTGAAGGTCTGTGGTTAACACAAGCTGAGGAGACTTTCACATTCTGTAGGACATAAAATACATCAGTAAATAACCCACTGTGAAAAAGACGGTGGCTACAGAACGTCATCACGCTGATCACAGCTTTACAGCCTCATTGTGGTGGTGACGTTAAAATATCCGACCATGGTGTAGTTTATAGCCTAATGTTAGCTTTTTTACTTCTGTTAGGCTTCAAGAATCATAAAGTGGAATTATCTTGAGATTAAGCTACTGAACAAAACGTGTAAGGATCATACACACTTGCATGTGATAATCCCACTGGCTTTCTGACAAGGGAACCAGGGCAACTACACAACAGAAAAACATTGTCCCTGCAGCGCTCTATTAGCAGTATGTACGGGAATGTCATTAGTTCTGCAGGTACTTGGTCGTAAACCAAACAATAGCACCTTGATGCATGCAACGTTAAAGCAACACTGGGGATGCAACCTAAAGTTATGTGCTTAAATTACATAGGTTAGGTTAGGAGGGCACTGCATTGTGAAGTCTGTACCCCAAGGCGCCTGGACACACTAAACTGACCTGATGATGGCGATAGGTAAAAAGTCAGAATTCATCCTGAGGCGAACATGAATGATAAACCACCTCATCACAATCCATCCAATAAAAAAAGTCTCAGATTAAAGTCCCATCTAGATCTTTGAGTCAACAGAATAAATCAGCCACATGTTTCTCATGAACATTTAATGTCCTGGTCATAATGCTCTCATGGTGACTCTTCTCTACACTGATCTGTTGTCACCTCCCAGCTGTCCTCCTTGATGAGGTCAGAGGTCAGCCCTCAGTGAGGTCATCGTTAAAGTGGAGGAGGATGGCGGGAGTGAAGAGGTCTCGGTCCAATCGCAGCTGTTGGAGCTCGAGGTCGTCGTCGGGGATGTTGTTCTCGCTGAGCGTCCGGCTCATGTCCAGGCTGGCTCCGGCATGTTTCCAGGTGTAGCTGCAGGCGTGGGAGTTGTAGCGCAGGTAACGCTGAAGGATCTCAGCCAGAGTCTCCTCTGAGCACACCTGAGGTACGACAGGACGTGAACATATTTTAGCTTTAGTCTCTCTCTAGATTAATGGTGTGTTTCCCTGCTGTGTTCAGGGTCCGTACGTGTATCCAACACTCTGACCAAGAGCAAAACATCTCAGCATCTCCAGGCCGACTGACATCATGTGTCCTCTGTATGTTCAGAGTCCCTGCTTACCACAATCAGGACCATGTCTCCACCTGAATCCTCATCAACGTATCCTCATAAAACAGTTTGTATGATATCTTATGAGTTAGCACCCCTACTGGTTAGGTTAGGTTTGGTGTAGGAAAGTAAAGTTACGTTGGCTGGTTAAGGAAAAGAAACATGGTTTGGCATTGTCAAATTATACACTTAACGTAAAGTTACATAGGATTAGGAAAAGAAACTGTTGAGGTCTTCACGCCATTTACTTAATGTAATATGGCGACATGTTGATGTATCTTAAAATAACTCAAGAGTTCACCTGCTTTCACACGGGACAGTTATGTACAGTAGGTTTAGGAAAATAATCGTGGTTTGCCGTCATCAAGTTAGGGTAGCATAAAGTTAGTTACCTGAAGTAAAGTCACGTAGGTTAGGTTTAGGAAAATAAAGTTACATAGATTACATTTAGAAAAAGAACGATGGTTAGGCGTTGACACGTTACGTACTTAAGGTAAATTTACGTACTTAACACTTGACATAAAGTTACATAAATCAGGTTTAGGAAAAGAATCATCGTTGGACAACATTGGACAAACTGTGTACTTAAAGTTAAGTTACGTACCTAAAAGAAAGTTACGTAGGTTAGGTTTACGAAAAGAATCATGGTTGGGCGTTGTCAAATTACACACTTCACATAAAGTTGCAGAGGTTTAGGAAAAGAAACATGTTTGGGTGTCTTCACAGTACGTACTTAGCGTAATGTGACGACATTACGATGTGTCTTAGAAATAACTCATGGGACACGAACACCAGTCTCCTCAAGAAAAGTCGTTCACCACCGTAACCTGCCTCTTTACATGAACTTTCGCTCTTTATACGACTTCCGTTTTTACTCGTCAGCGCATTGGTCACGTAATCACAGCCTTCAACGATTATGTGTATTATATACGAATTTTGGTGCATTACTGTTCGTATGTACGTTTGAACAGTAGCCAAGAACAGCCTGCTTTCATTTTCTGTTGGTTGAAAGTTCACCTGCAGGCGCTGCTCCTGTGATGTCAGCGTGTTGACGACTCGTATCCACCTGGTTTTAGCAGACAGCAGTCCCACCTCGTAGCGTTCATCCCTCCACCAGGGCTGGCCGATATCACTGGCCCAGTCGGAGCGAGGGCCGGCGGGGGGAACGTGCACAAAGCGGCCCCTGGGGGTGTAGTACCTCACGCAGTTAGTCACTGGGTCTACATATTTCAGCACCTGAAGACAGAAGACAGACAGACAGACACGTGTAGGTGAACCAGGAGCAGAGCTGAGAGCTGCTTTCTGATTGGTTGTTTGATTAATGCTCACATCTTTGGTTTCAGGGTCGAACCAGCAGCTGATGTCCTTTCCTGCACACTCCATGATGGGTAACAGCAGAGCGTCGCCTGCAGGAAACACAGGTTTCATATTTGTATGAAACATATTTATCTTGTCACTTTATTTTTAATTTTACTGCTGTTTTAACACAGATAGCCCCCCCCCCCCCACACACACACACACATATGTCCCCATCATTGAAACAAGACTGAGTGTGGAAGCATAAGTTTCCTGTTGTATCTGGTTAAGGTGGAGCTCATTTTAACTGTAATATACTGTGTGTTGAGAAGTTTTATGAATAAAAAGGAATCATATTTTAAAAACTGATGTTTTGGATGTTTAGAATAAAAGTAGTGCAGTAAAAAGTACAATATTTCTCTCTGGGATGCAGTAAAGTGAAAGGGGAAAGCAGTTTAAGTAATACTAATAGTAAAATAAAGCACTTCACGTTGTGGACTCTCTCTCACTGCTCTCATCTGACCGTTTGGCTTTGCTGTGATGATGCTCACCTTTGTGTTGCTCCATCAGCGGGGTCAGGTCACACACTTTGCCCAGAAATGACACCCACAGGTCGGCGGCGGTGTTGTGAGCAGCCACCTCAGCGGGGGTGAAGTACTTCTGTCTCTTCATCACTCACTGGGTCATGTTCACACACCCAGCTAACGCGGCGTTATTCCGGTATTTAAAGCAGACTGATTAAATGTGTCTCCCTTCAGTCCTGTCTGTCGCTTCGGTGTTGTCGCGCTACTATGGCAACAAGCGTCAAGGGGCGGGGCTGTGACGCAGACCGATCAGACAACTTTCTGTCAAAGATGTCATCATATAATTTTAAAAATAAGACCTCTGTTATCCTTCAGGATTTTATCATTTAGAAACTTTTTTTTTTTTTTAAATAAATGACTATAATCAGCTTTATTATTTTATTTTAGTCTTAGTGTATTTATTATTATTATTCAACTTTCTTTGACATTAACATTAAAATGAAATAAAAATGAATTAGCCTTATAACTTAAAATTAATTGATGACTGCTCTTTGCTACAGATGCCATCAAATATTTTATTCTTAAAAGAAACCCCAAAATTATTTTATTTTATTTCATTACATTATTGAGACAATTTTTTATTCACACACACACACACACACACACACACACACACACACACGTATATATATGTATATGTATATATACATGGTATGTGTAACGTGCCAAGAATCTTAAAGAAAATAAATAAATAATATATATACTGTATATATATATGTATATACATATATATATACATATATATATATATATGTATATATGGCAAGAATTTGAACAAATAAATGCTAAATAAAAAAAAAAACATGCCAAGAATTTTAAAGAAAAGATGCTAAATTTAGGGGAAAAAACTGCCAAAAACTTTGAAATAAATATACCAAATTAGAAAAAAAAAATGCCAAGAATTTTAAAGGAAAAAAATGCCAAATTTGAAAAAGATATGGCAAGAATTTGAGCAAATAAATTCTAAATAAAAAAAACTTTTCTATTATTTTAATAAAAAAAGATGTTAAATTTAGGGGAAAAACGTGATAAAAGTGCTAAATTTGAAAAACAAAACAAAACATGCCAATAATTTTAAAGACAACATGCTTTCCATAAAGTTCAAAAACACGTGCTTTTAAAGTTAAAAAAAAAAAAAAGATTTTTAAGGAAAACATGCCAAATCTAAAACCCACCCCCAACTCCCATAAGTAATGAACAGTTCCTGAGATAAATGTTAAAAGTAAAAATTAAAAGAACAATATTTCCCTCCGAGATGTGGAGTAGAGGTATAAAGTAACAGAAAATGTAAATACTTAAGTAGCAGAATCTAATATATGATGAAGCCTTGATGATAAATATGAAGAGAAATAAGTTTTAATACAGTTAGCCCCGCCCCCCTCTCTCTCTCTAGTGGAATGTATCAGACGTGGCAAAGATTCACTTTCTCCACTTTTCACGAACCTTCTTCAGCTCCAGGCCACGAAATCACAGCCCACTCTCTCCATCTGTCCGCCTCTGATTGGCTCCCGTGGAGCCGCTCTGGCACGGTGATTGGTTTGAGAAGCCCGCCACTCAAGCCTTCTGAGATTCTCATTGGCTGGCAGCAGAAAAAGGCGGGAGGAATAGTTTTTTTTCTATCCGCTGTTGACGTATTTTTCTATCGCGATATCAGGACACGGGATGTGAAAGCCGTTAGGGATTCAGAGAGGAACGTTGATGGAGTGAAGACGTGACGAGGAGATAAAGTCACGGGTTACACTCTGAACGGAGCCGTTAACGGGTTTTTAAGTAGCAGCCATGACTTCCTGTTCTCTCCTCGGCCTGCTCCTGACTCTCACCGTCCTCCACAGCTCCGTGTCGGCCGAACAGCGGAGGCTGTCTCCAGGTAAGGCCGCTCCGGAGGGTCCCCTGCCCGGCCGGGCGGACCACCCTGACCCGCTGGAGCTGCCCGGCTCCTGGTGTCTGTCAGCTAACTGTTAACCTCATTTATACTGAATTAAGAGGTTCATTATTCACTTATGATCAATAATAACTGTGACCGTGAGTTTATAAAGTGGAAACTGTTAGTTCTAACTGGTGTGCAAACCATCAAACCCTCCAACTTCCTAACTTTTAAATTAGCCTGAGGCTAATTAGCAACAATTAAATACTGGGGCTTATTTTCATCATTTTATAGTCTGTTTTTCCCCCATTAACTGTTTAATAATTAGACCCTTGAAATGTCTAAATGACTGACAAAACGAAGAAGTCATAGTATTAGTGATGTCTTTAAACTGCACACTGGGAGATATCCGTCACACAAAACCACAAAGAATGACTTGAGTTATTTTGTACTTTATACTATACTACTATATATCAGATTAATATTGTATTTATTAATGTTTTACTCCACTTTATATATCCGCCTGTAGGGCTGTAACTAACAACTGTTTTCATTGTGGATTAATTGTCGGTTATTTTCTCGATTTATACACTAACGTTAGTTGTCTGGTCTATAAAATGTACAAATATATACAGTTTATATATACATTAAAAAAAGAGGAAAAAGGTCGATCAGCGTCCTCAAATGTCTTGTTTTTGTCCACAACCCAAATACATTCAGTTTATTGTCACAAAGAAGGAAAGAAATCTGAAAATATTATAATATTCACACTTTAGGAGATGGAATCAGAGAATTTCGACTTTTACCAATTAAAGTATTGAATTAAAGCACTTTGTAACTGAGTTTTGAAAAGTGCTGTACAAATAAAATTTATTTTTGTTTTTATTATTATGAATTATGTGATGATCTATTTAGTAGTTGACACCTACCCAATTTATAGATTAATCTTTGCAGATCTGACAGCTTTAGTTACTAAATAAATACAGATTGAATGAGCAGAATTAGCACTACCTCAGCTGGCTACAATATTTAAATTCTGCTGGCATGTTAATGTATCAACAATACTAATACTCCAGTAGTATATCATGTAAGTGCTGTAAGTGTTTCCTGCTGTGAAATTCATTTTGAAGATGTGATCTGGTTCATTGTGGTCCATAAAGTCGTCCGCACCGCAGCAGCAGTAAAGACTGAAGTCGACTCTCAAGGAACTTTCCAGAATCACTGCCCACGTTTCAGGTTGTTGTCACTGTGCTGAGTGTGATGAAGTCTCTGATTTGGTCTAAACCAAACATCATGTTCAGTTTTCAGTGATTCAGTTTCCACATTAATTAAAGTTTCTTCATCAACATTTTCATTAAAAGAAAATCAGTGTTTGTGCCATCAGTTATATTCTCCCAGTCACACAGATTGTCCTCATGGTACCTCACAAGTTAAGATGAGTCCACTCAGTGAAGTCTGTAGGTTTCAAATTCAGGTCAAATAATCTGCTCACATATTGTTGTTTTCTTAGAGATATTTGATTTTAATAACATCCCTACTGTAAACACTTAATAAGAGAATAAAGTGTAATGTGTTGCTAGATTAAACAGTAAGAAAATTAACTGAAAGAATGTGAAATAAAACATAGTGCAACAGGAATAATGTATCTAAAACATATAATAATAACATGCTCTCATAATCTAAAAAATATGTGGAAACATAAATCAGAGTTTCCTTTTCCTGTTAGTGCTACACAGACAGTGTTTATTTCCTTTACATGAAGCTGCAGAGTCACAGTGAGCGCAGAGTTTTACAAACTTGTGTGTATGAATGAAGTGTGTGTGTTTGTACAGCTGTGTTGTGTGTTGTTGGGGGTTTGTTGTTTCACACTCGGGCAGCAGATTATGAGCAGAAACTCTAAATAGTTTTCATTACGTTGGCCTGGTGTCCAGCAAGTTCACTGCTGAGCAGAAGTCCTCTGTAACTACTGTGAAACAGTGTCTGTGGTGGAAAACCACTCTTCTTATCTGGTGAATTAAAATCCATTATAACCATTAGTCAGTCTTCCTTACTGATCTGCTGACACAGTATTTTTAATACAGTTGCAGATATTAAAGGCAGAACTACCACAGTATAAACAGGGAGCCAGAATTCTGAGAAATAAAAGCTGCAGTGATGCATGACAGGAGAACAGACCACATCACTGTGGGGTTGTGCTAACAACAACAGTCATCTTCAGGTAAATGGCAACTGACCAATCTGATGTTTGTGCTGTGCATTTTAACGTCATATCCCTGCATTTCAAGCGTCCAATCTGTGACCAAAATGGGGTGTTTTTTAGTGACCCATGGCTGCATTTCCAGCGGTGATTGTGTGACTCTAATGGGGTGTTTTTCAGCAACACATCACTGTGTTTCCAGCCGTGTTTCCAGCAGCCACTGCAACCAAACTGTGGTGTTTTTTCAGTGCCTTATCGCTGCATTTCCAGCAGCCATTGTGTGACCTTAAGGGAGTGTTTTCGGTGACTCTTTGCAGCATGTCCAGTGGCAGTTGTGCGGGTATTTAAAGCCAAAACGTGATCTTTTCCTAACCAAGTGGTTTTTGTGCCTAAACAAACCACAGTGTTGTTGAAATGAAAAGTTTCAATACATCCTCTGCATAATAACAACATTAAATGGTGTCTGTGGTTTGCAGAACCGTACAATACCAACATTTATTCTGGTGTTTGGGTTGCACCAGACAGCAACATCTAACTGCTGGTCGAAACAACTGCAAGCAGTCATTTTCTTTAGTCTGTGGCCCAACAGGTAAATTAGAAAGCCCCAAACATTTCTCCGTTCTTTTTTTGTTACCCAGCAGCCCCAAACAAAACAAGACTGATCAAATTTCTTGAGACATTTGAAGACAGCAGGTTGGACATTTTTGTTACCTGATCAGCAGTGAGAGTCATCTTTACCTGCAGCCGAATCTGCTTCATTTGACTTCATGAAGCCTTAAAAGTGGTGGGAAAGGTGTGTTGCAGTTAATACTGTGTTACATGAACTCATCCCAGTATGTCTCAGTGCTGCAGGATAGTGATCCATTCACTGTGACAGCTGCGGAGCCACTGTTGGCAGAAAGTGACCCTGCTGTGAGTAATTCTGAGGAGAACTTTGTTACAGAGATGAGTGTTGGTTTGTCCACTGAAGTCACGTTTAAACACTGACTGAAGGAAACCTGGAGTCACTGAGGACAAGGAGGCTTTTGTCAGATACTCCTCTCCTCATTAACCTCTCACCGTCCTCCGCCTCCTCCCCTTCACCTCGCCAACCTCTCTGAGGAATTTCTGAGGAATGTGACTCTCACCGAATCCCTCGAAAGCCTGGGGGGAGGGAGGAAGAAAGAGACTGGAGGGCAGCAGGAGTTTGGTTTGCTTCCTGATTTCTAACATGGCACGCAGTGGTGCTATGTAGCTCAGTACCTGAGTACACTTTTATGTACTTGTACTTAACTTGAGTGTTTTCATTGTCTGACACTTTTTACTTCTTTTTCACTACATCTCAGAGAAAATATTTTACTTTTTCATGTATTAATATTTAATCCAGTAATACTGTGTGTATTATTCTGCATAATCAGTACTATAAGTACTTTTGGTACTTAAAGTATTTTTTTTTTTTTTCAATTATCCAAACAAGAGCTTTTGATTGATGTTGTTTTATTTTTCACTTTACTGTCGGTAGTGATTCTTCATGTCTGAGAGCAGAAAGAAACTGGACTGAGGACATTTTTCAGTTTCAGAAGTTTTTTTTTTTCTTTTACATTTTAAAATTTTTTGGGGAAAAAGGTCTGTTTTAAAAAGCTTTTCAGTAAAAGGAAAAGGACAAAATTCATTTGATGGTTTTTCTGAAAAGTTTGGATTATTTTTAAGAAAAAAGTTTGAAAAAAAACAAAAAGTTTTGATTTTCTTTCTAGAAACAGTTGTTTATATATTTTTTAAAGAAAAAGGAATAAAAACTTTTTAGAAAAGAGTGATGAATTATCTAAGTTTTTAGTAAGAGCAAAAAAACTTTGTTTTAATTTAAACGTGTTTAGTTTTATTGTAAAGCACATTGTTACTGTGTTCTGAAAGGTGCTATTTTAATAAAGCTTAGAATATTATTATAGAATATTATTATTATTATTATTATTATTATTATTATTATTATTATTATTATTAATATTAGTATTTTGTATTATTTATATTTTATGTTTTTTTTTGTTAAGTTTGGGGGGGGGGGGTTAAAGAAAGAAGTGTGGTATTTTTATAAAAAATAAAAAAAAGTAAAACTTTTTTTAAGTGTTTTTTAAGTGTTTTTTAGAAAAAGCAACAAAAAAACAGTATGTCCCTCACCCGCTGATAGCTCTACATTGAAGATGTAATTGATGGGGTGGAAGTAGCTCAGTCCATAGGGACTTGGGTTGGGAATGCCGGCTCAAGTCCCCGTCCGTTGGCTGGTGGCTGGAGAGGTGCCAGTGCTTGATCAAGGCACTGAACCCCCCAACTGCTCGGGGCGCCTGACAAAGGCAGCCCCCTTACTCTGATATCTCTCCACTGTGTGCATGTATAGGTCCTGTTTGTGTGTGTGTATTTTGGACCTGTGTGTTAATGACAACAGAGTGAAAAAATTGAATTTCCCCTCAAGGGAATTAATAAAGTGTATATATATATATATATATATATATATGTGTGTGTGTGTGTGTGTATATATATATACAGTACAGGCCAAAAGTTTGGACACACCTTCTCATTCAATGCGTTTTCTTTATTTTCATGACTATTTACATTGTAGATTCTCACTGAAGGCATCAAAACTATGAATGAACACATGTGGAGTTATGTACTTAACAAAAAAAGGTGAAATGACTGAAAACATGTTTTATATTCTAGTTTCTTCAAAATAGCCACCCTTTGCTCTGATTACTGCTTTGCACACTCTTGGCATTCTCTCCATGAGCTTCAAGAGGTAGTCACCTGAAATGGTTTCCACTTCACAGGTGTGCCTTATCAGGGTTAATTAGTGGAATTTCTTGCTTTATCAATGGGGTTGGGACCATCAGTTGTGTTGTGCAGAAGTCAGGTTAATACACAGCCGACAGCCCTATTGGACAACTGTTAAAATTCATATTATGGCAAGAACCAATCAGCTAACTAAAGAAAAACGAGTGGCCATCATTACTTTAAGAAATGAAGGTCAGTCAGTC